GGAGGAGGAGGAGGAGGAGGAGGAGGAGGAGCAGGAGGAGCAGGAGGAGGAGGAGCAGGAGGAGCAGGAGGAGCAGGAGGAGGAGGAGGAGGTACCTGCTTATCCTTGAGGGTGCTCTCAAAGTCTCTCGTCTGCTCTACAATCCTTCGCTTCTCCGCATGAGTCGTTGCTAAGGCATCCACCATCGCAGCGACGCCTTCCCTCACCCTCTCGTCGTACTCCCGCACAAACTCCTTCCTCGTCTTCTCCCGCAGCTTCAGCACCTTCTTGCGGTTCTTCTCCTCCTCCTGCATGGACGCCAGGTATGCCTGATGCTCCAGCCTCTCCCGCGCCTGCCGGTCCCGAAGCTTCCGCTCTGCTCCTGCCTCCAGGTCGCGAAACTTCTTCTCCTCCATCTGCGCAGCTCCGGCAGCGAGGAACTGCTTCTTGATCTCGATCATCTCCATCTCCTTGCGCAGCTTCTCGTCCTCCTCTATCCTCGCCTTCCTCTTCATCTCGATCTCCTCCTGCAGCTTCAATTGGGCTTCGTTGCGCACTCGCAGCCGCAGCTCCTTCTCCTCTTCTGCCTTCTTCAGCTTCCGCATCCGCTGCTCCTTGGCATCCTTCTTGCGGATCTCACGGACCTGATGGATCGTCTTGACTCTTGTGACGAGATCTTCTTCTCGCGCTTGCTTGGTCAGGATGATTTCCTTCCTCCGCTCCTCCTCCTGCTCCTTCGCCTGCTGCTTCACCATCTCCAGTCGCTCCAACAACTCTGCCATCGACATTGCCTCCAGCACATGCCGCGAGCTCTCGCTCACGCTCGTCGGATCGAACTGTACAGTCCGGTCCACCGGCACACTCTCGAGAGCACGGATCTGCCGCACGATCTCCATCCTCTCCTCCTCCTCCTTGGCTCGCTTTGCCTTGGCCTCCTCCTCGAGTCTCTTCGACTCTTCTCGCAGTTCGATGCCGAGCATCGTCTTCGCTTCCAGCACAGCCTCTATCGCAGGTCTGACGTTCTTCTCTGCAGCCTTCACGTCGTCTACCAGCAAACGCTTCTCCTGCAGCAGCTGCTCCCTCTCAGCCCTCGACATCGCTCTGAACGCCTCCGCCTCCTTCCGCATGTCCGCAGCGAACCTACAAGCCCTCGTCAGAACTTCACATAACCCACGAGGAGAGGCTCACTTTTGATTCTCCCGCTCGTTTTGAATCCTTGCTTCCTTGGCGTTCTGGTCGGTCAGGATCATCTGGACCCTCCGCTGCTCGATCTCTTGCAGCCGCCTCAGCTCGTCCTCCTGTCTCATCCTCGCCTGCCACTCGTAGTACTCGCTGTCGTCTCGCAATTCGCTCTCGTACTTCTTAATCAGCGCTGCTTCTTCCTGCTGCTTCTTCCGGAACAGCGCGTCTTCTCTCAGTACCGCCGCCGTGTTGAGCCGGATGGAGGAGTTCTCGGCCGCCTTGAGAGCCGGCTGCGGGTTTGTGGGCTGAGGAGGAATGAATCTCGTCTGTTCTTCCAGCAGCTTCTCATGTTCCTGAGCCAGAGCATCCTTGTACTTGCCCGCACGTACCACCTTCTTCGACGAGAGCTTCTCAATCTCTAGCTCTGGCCCCTTGGACTTTGAGTGCTTCGACAGCGTCTCCTCCCGGGCCTTCTTTCTCGCCTCCTCCACCTTCTTCAGCGTCCCGTCCCCATCTGGATTCTTCACGGACTCGGGGATCGGCTTCTTGTATGGGTTCTCAAGCTTGATAGCAAACGGCTCTGGAAGCATTCTCGGCCGGGGCTTGGAGAGGTTGAAGGGCTCTACCTTGGTGGTCGGGAGCTGCCTCTTCACCTTGTCTCCCTCACCGATGTCATCCTCGTCCTTGGTCGACGCGAGGTCCCGCAGCCTCTCGATGATGTCCGACACCTCCGGCAGATTCCTCAGCAGCTTTGCGATCAGCTCGTCCTCCACGAACTGCTCGTCGTAAAGCCTGCACCACTCCTCCTTCATCCATTTGTTGAGCGTCTGCGCGTTGAAGAGGAAGGAGAGGAAGACGAACATCTTCTGGGCATCCTGGAACCACCGTCAGCACTCCCTCGCAAGCAAACTCCAGGGTTCGCACCTGCGCAAAGACGAACCGTCGAAAGATGGGCACGCTCATGTCCTCAAGGCGGATCAGGGTGATGTAAGCGAAGACCATGTAGAGGTTGTAGTCTTCTCTGCTCACTTCTGTTCCGTGCTTGAAGTAGAGGGCAGTGAGCAACACCTTGATAAGTTTCTTGTACCGCATGGACCCGTACACCACCTGCCTGATGAAGACTGCGTCTCCTTCATCTGAGCAATCTATCTGAGCCAGGAAAAGCTCGAGGTGCGAGTCCAGCGTCATCTTGTTGGGCTGGAACGACTTGTAGCATTCTATGCAACGATCCACAAGTTCGCTGGGCTTCATTTCAAACGATGCGCGTCAACGAACTAATCAACGCTGCGATTCAATGCCCAGCTCGTGACGACACAGAACGCAGCGGCTTCAGGAATCGAGTAGCTTGCAGCCGTCTCGATGACACAACATTCAATGCCTAATCTTGTACCTGGTCGAATACATCAGAAACTCTCGGTGTTGAGGCTGTATCAACAAGCGCAACTTTCAAGACATGCAAAAGAGACAGAGAACATAAGGTCTATCCCAACGCTATGAGTTTCCTTCTGTCCACGCACTTTTTCTATCATAAAACTTGTTGACTCACTCAGCAAGAGTCCTTGGGAGGTCTGTTTCAATCAGTTTTCGGATAACTTCGCCATTTTCCTCCCTTCTCATTCCCAGTCCTAGACCTCTCTGCCTCTCTCTTCTCCTTCCAGCTTCTCTCCCTCCACTCCTCTCGTCCTCTCCTCCCTTCCTCCTCCTCCCCTTCCCGTACTGTCAGAGTATCATTGCCAACGGCTGCCGCCTCCTATAACCGGAAACGGTTTTTGAAACCGTCTAACGGTCGTGGCTGCTGTGCCGCTCGTTACAAACTGTACCGCAAGTGTAACGGCTGCAATGAATTCATTAGAGGAAGGGGGGCCGAAGCTGGGGTGGTAAGGGATATATCACGAATACAGGGGGTACAGTTAATTTATCACGGGTGGTGTCTAGAAATTTTATTTGAGTACCGGTACTTATTAGAAAACAATTTCCACTTTGAATGGGTGTAACAAACATTGTTCTGAAGAAGGGTGGGTTATACGCCTAGGGATGGGGTGGTGTATTTGACCAGTGCAAGCAAAGAGGGTAGGGTTCATAGTTTGTATGCCAAGAAAATGGAGAGGACGGATGTAGGGGAAGGAGAGGGAGAGGAGAAGAGGGGAGGGAGGAGAAGGTTTCATCACAGCAGAAGAAGGGAACCATCGGCAGATCAATGGAGAGTGTAGGGGCAACGGAAGGAACAGGACAGAAAAGGGCAGGATTTGATAGAGGGGAAAGCAAGAATGAGCTGAAAACAATACGAGGGGGTGTAAGTAAATAGGAAGCGAGTTGGGATGCAGTAAGAGGCGACGAGGATGTTGCCAAAGCGATGATACAGTCGTATTTGAGATTTTATGCTATGATGTAGAGAGGACTGAGGGATAGGCCAGGGAAGAACAAAATGTGCTGTAAAGCACAGGATCGAAAGAATATCGAATCACGCATGAAAATAACAGCAGAGTGAATGAAAGAGAAGTTCTTGCTGATAACGAAGCCTTGTTCTCTTCAGTTTGACGTTGACAAGCTTGTCTCTTGCTACCCTTGTAATCCTTTCCACTGCTCAACCGACATCGTTGTTTCCATGAGATGACATCTCTTGCAACCTTCCCGCAGTTGTTTCGCGTCTCCGATGCGCTCTTGCTGAATCGCGATCGGCGTCTGCGAGTGAGGGATGGAGCTCTTCAAGGCTATACAGGAGGCCTTCTGGGCGTCATCGTCCGCTGTGAGCGTCGAGGTGCGCCTGGTTCAGCATGGGGGGAGGAGGTGACGCTGTTGAAGGTTGGGCCTAGCCTGTTGGAGGTGATAGTCGAAGCCGAGAAGCAGAAGGATGCCTCCAAGTATCTGCTGGAGAACTACAAGGGGAAGTTCATGGTGTGGAGCCTGCTTCCCGTCCAAGACACAGAAGACTTCGACAACGACGTCCAGGTAGCGAAAGTTTGTTGCACTCCCTCATCATGGATGATGATGATGATGATGATGATGATAAGTTCATTCACTGCAAACATGGCAGGACATCGCGGCTTACGTGACAAGCCCACCAGCGCTGGAAGATATCCTGAAAGTTTGCCATTCCATCCATGGCTGGATCGAGTGCGACACTGGAAACGTCGCCGTCGTCCTCTCCTCCTCTGAGCAACTGGTTGAGTCATCACACTCCCTACCGCTCCTCCTCCTCCTTGCTTCTCTCCTCCTCCTTCTCCTCATGTGACTGACAGGTCTCTTCATGGAGCGCTCTCATCTGCTGTGCTTACTCGCTCTACTCCAAGTCGTTTGTGCATGCAGCAGAAGCTTTCGCCCACCTGGCATGTCAGCGGGTGCGCGGAAGCTGCGGTCACGACCAGCCCGTCCCGCAGCTGATGAGGTTGCAGATCGAGGCGACCCTGTCGGCTCAAGACATCCTCTCAAATCCCGAGAGCGCTGAGTTCAAATACGAAGTGAGGAGGGAGAGGAGGAGGAGAGAAGGGGGGAGTTGAGAAAGGGAAGGGGAAGGGGTGGAGTGAGGGAGCAAGGAGAGGAACGGAGCTGAGGGTTGATACTCAGGATCTTCCTTTGGTTCACCGCACTTATTTGTTCTATGTTGAAACTCTGATCAAGACCAGGTGAGCATGTCAGAATTCTTTTCTGTGGGTTGACGATTCGCTCCCTTCTCCTCTCTCTCCCCCTTTCCCCTTCCCTCCTCTCTCACTCTCTCTCTCTCTCTCTCTCTCTCTCTCTCTCCATATCGTCCTTTTCCTCTCCTCCTCTCCTCCTCCTCCCTTCTCAACGGACAGATGCATCCCGCACGACTCCCCCATCTACGTCACGCGCATCGTCATGCATGGGTTGTCACTTGCTCCAACCTCTCTCCTCCTGCTTGCCTGACCTCGACGGTGAAGGATCCCCAAGATCGCAAGGCAGGGGGAAGTTGGTTGTATCCCCGTCATCTCCATGCATTCTGGTGAGGGATATGGAGCTGTTTCTGAACCCCTTATCCCTCCCGCAGTGACCTCAGGGAGGATGATCTTCTCCTCCGAATGGCAGTCGACCTCCAAGTCTCTCTCCTCCTCCCTCCGTGTGTACAGCGTTGAGGTCTGGTCTCCCTGGTCCCTCAAGCACATCCTCCTCCTCTGTCAACTCGCTCCTTCGCCACCTGCACTACCTGAGACTCCTTCTGCCTCCTCCTGCCTCCTTCCTCTGTCTCTTCTCATCTTGCTCGACTAGGATTGCTCTGCTATCTTTCCCGTCAATGCCGGTGAGGAGGGAGTGACTTGCTGGCTGTGTATCCTCTCAAGCTGCTGCAGCGGTGATGGGAGATGTGGTGCTGCGAATGAGCCACAGGCAAGTGAACCGAAACAGAAAAAGTGGAAGCGAGGCAGCGAGGCAGCGAGGCAGCGGGGGGGTGGGGAGGAGGGGGAAGGTGAGGGGGTGGGGACGAGGAATGCGATGGAGCAAGGGAGCGAGGGAGCGGGAGAGGGAAAGCAGCATGGGATGAGTTTAGACGTTCAAGTCTAAACGAAGACTGCAGAGAGAGTCTGGAGGAGGAGGAGAGCAAATATGAGAAGCTGTTCGAGGTGAGAGGATTGAAGGGGAGAGAGCAGGAGGTGGTGATATTCCCTCAGTTCTCCTTTCATTCCGCTATGCTTCATTATCACCAGCACAAGTCCACATCGAATCCTCAGGTACTCCCTCCCTCCCTCCCTTCCCTCCCTTCCTCCCTCCCTCCCTCCCTCTCTCTCTCCTTCCTGCCATGAACGTATTCGTGATCTCTCCCGACAGGAAACGATCACCTCCGCTGGTCTCATCCGGCTAGATCGATCATGTGAGTCGTCACGGAGGAGGAGGAAAGCGATGTGAAGAAACACACGCAGCGCTGGGGATCAGAAAAGATGACAAGAGGTTCGACGAGGTGTGTTAAAAACTTCCTCGTCCTCTTTCGATTCTTCCTATCTCCGCCTCCTGCGCGTGAAGGATTCGTTGCTCCTTCAGCTCTGACTTCTCCTCCTCCTCCTCCTCCTCTCCCAGGACTTCTCCATCGACATCTTGATCGCGAGCGACGAGTCCTGCCTCACTGACGACCTTGAATGCAACGTGCAATCCAAGGAATCGAACAAGACTTCTGCTCCTCGTTATGACACCCTGCAGAGACTTCTTGATGCCTTGCCTCCCGCAGGTACTGAATCTCCTCCTCTTCCTCCTCCTCCTCATCATCATCATCATCATCATCAGCAGCAGCAGCAGCATCAGCATCAGCATCAGCATTATCATCTCCATCATCTCCATCATCATCATCATCATAACCTCCTCCTCCTCCTCATATGTGCTCGTAGACGAACATCAGCATGTGAAGCCGCAGCCTCGACCGACACTCAAAGTGACACCCAACCCTCGCGAAATCCTCGAGGAATTTTTCAGCGACGAAGGTACCAGCTGCTCATTCTGACCTGCACTATCCCCTCCACTTAGTCTTCTTGTCCTCACTTCCCTCCCCTCCCCTCCCTCCCTCCCTCCCTCCCTCCCTCCCTCCCTCCCTCCTTCTCACTTTCCTTGGCGCCCTCCCTCTCGTGCTCGACTGAAACTCCTCCTTTCCTCCTGTCTCCTTCTTCTCTCCTCGCATGCACCTCACCATGATCTTGTTCTCATCTTCTTCTCCCAGTGGATTCGTCGGTCACCTCAAACATCAACAGCGTCCCGATCATCTTCTCTTTCCCTCCTTTCGGCAGCTCGGAGGAGCAAGTGAATTCTGTCCCTGTCCCAACCAAAAGTCAGACAAGATGCAGGAGGACGCTCCAACTTTGCTACATGAAGGAGACTCGCAGCAGGAGGAGCTGCTGTTGGATCTAGGTCACTGAATCCTCCCTCCCTCCCCTCCCTCCCTCCCCCTCCCTCCCCCTCCCTCCCTCCCCCTCCTCCTCCTCCTCCCCCTCCTCCTCGTTCAAATGAGCTAGACTCGGCTGGACCTCGTCTCAGTCACGCTGATCGCTTTGCTAACAGGAGGTGCCATGACGGGACGTCCCGTCCGCGGCTTCTGCATGGTCCTGCCATCGCTGGTGAGTCTTGTGCTGCTTACAGACTTGCTGGTTGATAAGTGACATGTACACCTCCTCCTTCTGCCATCAGGTCGTCCTCGAGCCTCTGAGAGTCGACAAGAACGCAAGGATGGTGGGGATAGAGAAATGTCAGATCAGAATCCCAGTTGAGAAGGTGGAGCGTCTTGCATCAGCCCTCGTGCTCCCTCACTCGCAGCACAGATCGTGAAGTTTGAGGTCACCATGAGGGCTGGTCACCCTCCCGCAAGGTGATGTCAAGTTTGTTGTGTCTCATTCAACTGTCCGTCATCATCATTGTCAATATCATCTCCATCATCATCATCATCATCATCATCATCTCCATCATCATCATCATCTCCATCATCATCATCATCTCCATCATCATCATCATCATCATCATCATCTCCATCATCATCATCATCATCATCATCTCCATCATCATCATCATCATCATCATCATCATCATCTCCATCATCGTCATCATCATCATCATCATCATCAATAATGAAGACAACATCTGCAACACCACCACCATCATCACCTCCACCCCTACCTGCCTCTGACTTCTTGTACGGTACAGTTCGGAGCTCGATCAGCAGATCGTGATAGGTCGTCCTTGTACTCTTCGCTCCTCTCTGTGTCTGAACTCCAGCAGAATGGGATGGCGGATCTTCTATCGAGTTCCGCCGAGTCGTCCTGATAGACCAGCCACAGGTAGAGCCAACCGCATCTCCTCCTCCTCTCCAACATGTCCTTGAACTTCCCTTCCTCCTCCTCCTCTCCGACATGTCCTTGAACTTCCCTTCCTCCTCCTATCCGACATGTCCTTGAACTTCCCATCCTCCTCCTCCTCTCCGACATGTCCTCGTCTTCGTCCTTAAAAGGACGTCGTTGACTTGCTGTCTCGTGTTAGCTGGAACATGTTCCTGCCATCTCCAAGGAGATCAAGGGCGCCATGGAGGTGCAGGAGGTGAGCATCCTCGTTGTCCTCCTGATTCTGCTGCCAGGCGCTTGAGAAACTTCAGAGCAACATCGCGAGCGGATCGCAGGTGGGAGAGGAGGAAGAAGGAGCAGGAGGAGGAGGAGGAGGATGTGCGGGTGCTGAGGAGGAGGAGGAGGAGGTGGAGGAGGAGGTGGTGGTGGTGGAGAAGAAAAACGACTTTCCTGATAGTTGCCCCGCAGACTTTCTCGTCTATTCTCAAGCACAGCGAGGTCTTCACTCCCAACCCTCCCACCCTCCACCTTCCACTGTGACCCTGTGAACGCAGGAGATGCCCAAGTTGATGCGGCACAACGAGGAGGGGTTCACGATGGAGGCCGCCTCCATGGTGATCTCGGACGAGCTGAGAGGAGGAGGGAGTGACATGGTGGCAGATTGCCTCGGAGGCAGAGATCATCGCCCTGAGAACCTCCATTCCCATTCGCTTCCGCATCATCGATGTGTGTACAGGAGGAGGAGGAGGAGGAGGAGGAGGAGGAGGAGCCCTGCTGACGTCTCGCAGACCTGGGAGCTCCTCTACTCCACCACCCTCCATGGCATCTCCTTGGAGACTTTTTTCCGCCGCACAGGCTGGTTGGCTCGCTCCTCCTCCCTTCCCTCGGCTCCGTCCTCCTTGGCTCACTTCAACCACAGGCGAGCTCCGACGCTTCTGCTCCTGCGGGACAGCAAGAGAGCTGTTTTCGGAGCCTTCTGCTCCGCGCCATGGGAGGCCCACTCGTAAGGAGGAGGAGAAGGAGGAGAAGGAAGGAGGGGGGTTGAGGTGCAGACGAGGAGGAGGGGGAGGGGCTGACGAGTTGTTGCTGCAGTACCTTCTTCGGCACAGGCGAGAGTTTCGTCTTCAGGACGGTAGAAAACGGCAAGGGCGACAAGAGCGTGCGGGTCTTCCGGTGGAGCGGGAAGAACTCCTACTTCCAGCTGGCGAGGAGGGGCGAGGGCATCGCTATCGGTCGCATCCTCGTCCTCGCGTCCTCTCACTTCTGACTGAGTGCGAGCAGGTGCTGGCAAGAACAACGCAATCCGGCTCGACCCCGACTTCCTGGTATGGGAGCAGCCTACTTGACTCCCTCCCTCCCTCCTTCCCTCCCTCCCTCCCACCCGCCCGCCCGCCCTCCCTCCATCCATCCATCCATCCATCCATCCATCCATCCATCCATCCATCCATCCAT